AGGGAGCACTGATCCTGCCACCTCAAGCGGCATCCCGGAGAACTGACCGCTGCTGCTCCTTACCTTAACGTGTAGTGAGGAAATACATGACATGCCTTCTTTCTGTCTCTCTGCCCTCCAACGGCAGGGATGTGGTACAAGGACAGGGAAACATATGAAGAAAAGTTTCATTACTACACATGACGGAGGAACAGAGAAGGAACTAGACAGAGGGATGCCAGTTTTAGTGGTAGCCCCATGTCTTTGAATAATGCTTCACTGGAAGATTTGCCTTCCGAATGTTTTGGACATAGGGGTTTTTTTTCTGTTGCAAACACAGATTTATTTATTTATTTTGAACTGCAGGTCCACTCAGCAGCAGGACTTTAAACACTTCAGCAGAGGTACCTGCACCTCTCTGATGCTATGGTAATATTGCTGTTATAATCCTTGTTTTTCAGTTGTTGACCTTCACCCATGCATTGCAGGTTCTCTGAACTGTATGTCTGTCCCCTACACTGAGAGTTCAGAAGAATCTGCAGTACCAGTTTCAGATTACTGAATTCAGCAAGGAACACAAAATGTGAATCAGAATTTCAGGGCCTTTAAATGTGAACGCCACCAAAGGGGAGAGTAGTATGGTTTGTGTACTGTTTTGTAACTTGGAGTAGCTTGTCGCAAGGGTAACTGTTTGGTGCATGGAGGATTTGGGGGCTGGTTGTCGGCAGACACCCACGCCTTCCCTCCTGAAAGGTATTTTCATGTTCACCACTGTTCATGCCAGAGCTTGCAAGCTCCGCATTCTCATGGGAGGCTTATGTTCACAAAGTACCTAGTTACAAATCACATGTTACCAACTGCTAACTTAAAGCTGATTGGAAATCCTCAAAAGGTGTGTGTGGGGTGTATAAAACGGAGCATTAGCATTTGAGAGGAGGGATTGGAGGAGCTTTCGGTGAAGTCTAGATTTCATGGAGGATTTGGGGGCTGGTTGTCGGCAGACACCCACGCCTTCCCTCCTGAAAGGTATTTTCATGTCCACCACTGTTCATGCCAGAGCTTGCAAGCTCCGCATTCTCATGGGAGGCTTATGTTCACAAAGTACCTAGTTACAAATCATACGTTACCAACTGCTAACTTAAAGCTGATTGAAAATCCTCAAAAGGTGTGTGTGTGGGGTGTATAAAATGGAGCATTAGCATTTGAATATGTTCACAAAGTACCTAGTTACAAATCACATGTTACCAACTGCTAACTTAAAGCTGATTGGAAATCCTCAAAAGGTGTGTGTGGGGTGTATAAAACGGAGCATTAGCATTTGAGAGGAGGGATTGGAGGAGCTTTCGGTGAAGTCTAGATTTCTTGGCTGGATCTCGTGGATCCATTCTAGCAGCTCTCTACGTCTCTTGCGTCAGGAGAAGGCTCCTTCCTCTGGAGGAGAGTGCCACTGCTTCCAGAACAGATCCACAGGATCCAGTCTAGTACACCTTCTAATGTATTATCACTGGTATGGAAGATTCCCTAGGCAACCTGCAGTGCAATCCTGAGAACGCTTTCCTGGGAGTAAGCTTCACTGAGTAGACTTCAGTAGGATTCTGAGTAGACCAGCTTTGGATGGCTCTGTTAGAGACCTACAACGTAGTCTGGTTGGAAGCCAGCATCAAGTTCTGCTTACTTACTAAGTAAGACAGTGTGACTCCTTAGGGGGGGTACCTGTAATCCCCTCCATAGCCCCTTAGTTCTATGTGGTATCCAGTGCCAGCGGCTTGGGAAGGCAACCCTCAGCATGACTGTGACCTGTTGGGGGAAGTCTAGAAGAGCGATATCTACCCGTGCTTTCTTTTCTGAATAACCTATCCTTGCTCATGGCCATACTTTGTAAAGCTGACGAAAGCACAAGCAAGCCCGAGTTACTCCCTCAAAAAATGCATCTTGACTCTTGAGTACAAGTCCAGAGATGTTGTTCAGCTCCTCTGCTTCCGACTTTTGGTGAAGCGGCTTCCAAAAGTAGCATGGCACTTTAAATAGGATACTTCGAGCACCCTAACTTCCTCCGCCTCACTCCTGTGGCGTTATGCACTTTAAACTCTCTTTGGCTGTAGGTTAGCTGTTACATGCTAGAGTATTATTGTAGATGGAGGGGGGCAGGCCGATGCTAACACTGTTGTCGCTGGCCCTCACCCCAGGAGCATATCTCTCTCCTGTTGTGTCTTCTGCCTCAGCACACCTGTGCGCGTGCACACGCACACACCCCATAATGTGACAGCAAGACCCTGTGTATTCTTGGGGCAACCCCGCTCCCCCCATTTTCAGCCCAGACACGTAGTGCATGAAAGGTCGGGATGCAGTGGCTTTTTAAAAAGCAGGCTAATCCCTTTTCATTAGTTTTAAAGAGTTTGGAAGGGGCCGTCTCTGCATCAGACAAAGCTATATTGTTGTTATTTTTAAGATAAAGGAAGTTAGCCCCAGCTGACTGAAATAGATGCTACTAATTTTTGTAGTGTACTTTGAAGCTTAGGTATTGAATGGGGTGGATTACTCTCTTGCGGTCAAAAGCTTGACTGAAATTTTATTGGTTCTAGATCTCTCCATATATACTCTTGCCTCAGATTATCCCATCCCTTGGTGGATTACTCACTGAGACAGCCTTGAAAGCTGGGCCCCGTATTAAACCACGTGGGTGAGGGTGCCGCCATTTTGAATACTGTTGCTCATGCAAAGACGCAGCTGAAGTGACAGTGCCTGTAAGGTACAGGTTTGCTATGGGTGCTGAACTGTTATCTTGAATTTATGCCTTACAGCCATGTTGGGCGCACAGTCATAAACCGAGATGGTAGCATTGATGGAATGTCTGGATTGCACATCAGGTATACTGGACAGTATTCCCAATGGTGGCACACACTGTTACTGTGGCCTGGCTTTAGTAGGATGTTTGGGAATTTGAGTAGAGGAAAGTTCAGAATGGGCTGAGGTCAGCAGTGAATCCACCTGTCTGATTTTATCCCATAGGCATTCTACTCTTGATTCCGTTTAACAGGAAAATGTTTCAACATCCAACATACCCTTTAAAATTATTGCCCCATGAATATGAAACTGATAAAGATTTACATGGATTGTTTTTCTTTTGGCATTCTGCAGTTTCTTATTGTAGTCTCTCTTTTTGGTGATCTTGCATTGCTTTGTATTTGCAAAATGAATAAATGGCATACGTTCTTCACTTCCAGTGCAACTGAAGTGGGATGCACCTATTTGAAATTGCTCAACAGCAAAACTGCAGAGTTAGTTTTGCGTTAGCTTTTTACAAAGCCCCAGGTCTCAGATTTATCCCTTTTGTCTCCCCATAATCTCCAGGCTCATGGGACGAGAAAGAAAAGGGCGGTAAGGAAGTGTTGGCTTTCATAAGCAAGTTTTGGGAAATGGGGACGGGAGAAGAATAAACTATAGCCGTGAAGATAAAGACTTGTACAAAACATATTTAAAGCAATTTAGCAAAGAAAGAAAGGAGAAAAGCTCTCACGTTGAACAGCTTTAAAAAAACAATGTGAATGAAAAATTTAGCAACTTGGTTAGGAATCTCTGAGAAAATTCTATAAATGTATACTTGAAATTGTTTGTATTTTAAAGCAAATGCATTTTTCCTCTTTAACACTGTGTAAAAGAAACGTTATGCATGTGAGTGGTTTGAAAATTAAATGGTTTAATACTCAAAAAGACCCACAGAGCAGTGCCTCATTTCACTAACTATTCCCTTATTAGAACTGTAGCTTCTTGTCTGTTTGATTCTGGCCTGTACACGCCACCTCTTCCTCCTCTGAGCAGCTCGAAAGAGCTTGAGCCATCAGCAAAGATTTTTCAGATACTGGCCTTTCAGAGTACTCTGCTTCCACAATGAAATGTTTGTCCCATGTGCCTGCACCACATTACCCACCAAACCAAAGGCAACCCTGTGCCTAGGACTCCGTACCGGGAAGGTGGCAGAGCATCTACTAAACAACAGTGGGTGACTGGTGGGATTGCATTTGCCTTGATGGCATATCAAGTTATTGCAAGTCCCACCCTACTTGAGTCTGCTTTTCAAAATAGATAGCAACCCCCTGATTTTCACTGAATTCTGTGGCAGAGGCGGTTCGAGAAAACATCAGGTCATCAACGAGTAACGTATGATCTTGGCTAGGACCACTTCTGAGATCTACTTACAAGCACCCGCTGAGATCTACTTACAAGAAAGCAAGAACAAACAAGCTGAAAGAGACATTTCTTCAGGTAAACATGGACATAGATGAGTCAGGTATAGCTAATGCTAGCATACATTTTCACTTGCCGGAGCTCTAAAGATGAGTGTTGATATTGATGGCAAATTTCTATTGTTAAGGTGCTGTACACTTCAGAACAAAAAAAGTGGTGCTCCATATTACTCCCTTGACTAGTGTAAACAGGATTTAAAGTCTAGGCGGTAGGCCACTGGCAAGCTCCGATTCCAAAGGGAAATGGGTTCTAAAGGGACTACTGGCTCTCCTCATTCTTCTGTGCTTACAGAGGGGTATGGCGTAAGGAAGAGGAAACCCACAACCCCTGAACCATCTTTTGTTAATTTCTTTATAAACTCTCATCTTCCAGCTTAAGGGTAGGAGTTCAGTAGAAGGTTCCAGTATCAAGTTGGCAAGTGTTTCTGCCTAAGCTTAAGTTGTTGGCACATCTGAATGTATTTTCTCTGAACGACTCATTCTTTCTTCCAAGAGTCAAGTTTTCAAAGAGCAATGAAATTCTGGCAAGAGAGGGATGGCCGGGGGGGGGGACGGGACTTTAAGTGAATGGATTAAGTAAATAGCACAGGATTTCTTCACAGGTGAGGCCCCCTCCTCTGGCTTTTGGAACATGACTGAAATGTGCAGAGATTTGGGGATACAATTAAGAAGAAAAAATTGATATTTTATGACAAGGGTGACATTTGCAGTTTCTGAATGTGTCACAATGGAAGAGAGAGATAGGGAAGGTAGCATTTTATTAGCTAGGTGCCCAGGCAGAGCTGAGGCCACCAGGGAACAGCTAAGAGGTTTATGGACAAGGGTTGGCTACTCTGCCCATGAAGAGGATGGCATTGATGGCAACTTCCCTTATTAACACCAGGAAAGGCCTGTTGGCATTGAAGACTACCCTGGGTGCCGGAAACGAACGGCCCATCATCACAACTGTCGTGGCAGCTGCCGCCTCACTGCCTTCCTCATTCACCTGCCAATCAGATGAAAGATGAACATGCATCAGGAACCCACAGTTTCACAATGAACGACGCCCAAGAACACTGAGGCCTGGCCTCTTCCAAGAGGTCCTTACGGTGAGGACCTTACCCAACATGCCATGTAGTCACTCCCTTGTTTTTCTTTCGATCTCCCCCCCCCCCCGAAAGATGAGTGAGCACTACTGACTGAGTCATCCCCGGTTGTTTTACTTCTTGGAGAGGACTCAGAACAGGAAAAGTGAGAACTGAACGTTTTCAGTTGTGCCTTACATCAATGAGGTTGCAGGCTGAATGCATGAATACTGTGGGAGCAATGCCACATCTGACCCTGACACCTCTGAGCCTTCCAATAGATGTCTATGATGGAGGGAAGGGCAGGCCTTCCTCCTACAGTAAGCTGCCAGCAAATCCTGTTGACACAGCCGCAGCTCCGTCCACATAAATAGCGCCGGTAAGGGAGCCCTACTGCAGGGCCGTAGCCAGTGGTGGGGCTTAAGCCCCCTATCAATTAAGGGTGAGCCCCAGCACCAGCAAGTCCACAGAGCCCCCCCCCCCAGCAGTAGCAGGCACCAGCAAGCAAGGGAAGGTTTTAAAAGAGATCTATGTCTCTTTAAATCCCTTCCCTTCTCTTTGGGGTCGGGCCGCAGCAGTGGCACGTGCCCCAAAGAGTAGGGAAGGGATTTAAAGAGACATCTCTTTAAAAACCTTCCCTTTCTTGTTAGCGCCTACCACGGCAAGCAAGGGAAGCAAGCAGGCCAAGGATCAGATGCAAGGAGGGATCTACCCGGGGAAGGCTCCACTGGAGGTGCCTGGGGGAGGGTCTTCTTTTCCCTTTGGCTGCAGGAGCACAACAGTGAGCCCACGCCCCTCTCTCTGTTTTTTAATTTCTTTACATCATGTGACATCAGAGCCAGCCCCCTCACTGACTAATTTCTGGCTCCACGGCTGCCCTACAGGCATTTTTCAACCAGTCACGCTGATTCCTGATGTTCTGCTCTCTCTTGGGATAGACATGTCTTCATGCTGTATGGCTGAGGCCAGGGTATTAATTTCCAAGGCAAGAGAGGTTGCTGGAGCTCACACTTGCATAGAAACCACATCATCTGACTTCGAAGTCTTACCACCTCTTTCCGGACAGATGGACCAAGCAACGCCTAGTTCTTAAAAGGTCTCCATTAAGACCTGATGTTTTACACAGATTCCAAAATGAATCCTCCAGCAAACTAAAGTCCTCAGAGGGCCATCCTAGGTGGAGTTATATCTCCCTAAAGTCAATGGATTTAGAAGGGTATAACTCTGCTGAGGATGGCACTCCTAATATCCCCCACTGGTTCCGTACTGTTGAGACCCAGCATTGAGGTGCTGAGCTTTCCTTCCTTGACGACTGAGTTTTTGAAAATCTAATTTTTGATGACCAAAACGTAAAGCAAGAGCAAGGAGGGGAGGAGACCTAGCTTGACTTACCTCCAAGAAAGCTTTGTGGAAAGCATCGGATACGTAAAGATCGTCACGGCCACCGGAAACTATGCCTGAAAAAGATTAACTGTAAGCTGAGGCAGCGCAACCGGCTGGTTGTGAGAAAGCAAAATAACACAGACATTTATGATGTGGCCATGCTCGTTTGTCGAATGCTCCTGGGGAGGGATTGAGTCTGGAATGCCCCTTGCTCTACTGCGGTTCTCCAGGTGATGAAGCAGTTGGGCAGACAGAGTGCAAGTGGAGAAACATGCAAAGCGAATGAAACTAGACGCAGGCAGGAGCACATTATTGTGCTTACTCTGTGGTGGCAGCGAATCGAGCTCGCTTCTCTGCCATCATTGCGTCTGCGTAGTGCCGCCCGGCAGAGCCTTTCCAGGTTCTGAAGGGACTCTCATCTCAAGCCCTAGAGAATGTTGACCCGGAAAACATACAAGCCCACCATGATTCCTTTGCAATGCCTTTTGCAGATAATATTGCTCGTATTTGCCAACACTTGGACACCACAGTTGGGTTCAGTCTCAGGATGTTATTGGAATGCAGTCTGGTCTTAGTTGTATAGATAACTTTCATTTGGTGAGGCCTGATGAAGAGGACAAGGCGCTTCAAAGTGCGCATCCCGTCACATCTGTTCTTGACCCTTATCGCTAGTGCTGGGCTGGGTTGGTTGACTGGGTCCAGGAAGTAAAAAATGCCTCCCTACAGGAGGGAGTAGTTCCAGCCACTTTGAAAGAGTTGGTTGTGAGATCCCCCCCTAAAAAAGGGCACATCCCTGGACCCAAACAACCTAAAGAACTATTGCCCATGGGCTAACATTCCATTCCTGGGCCAAGTGCTCAAGTGGATAGTGGCTACACAGCTTCAGGCGGTCTTGGAGGAGACGGATTAGCTAGACCCATTTCAGTCTGGATTCAGGCCAGGCTGGATTCAGGTTGGAATGGAAACGGAAATGGGACAGATGGAGCACACATGTCCCTGCTGATTCTCCTGGACCTCTCAGTGGCTTTTGATACCATCGACCATGGTATCCTTCTGAAGAGGCAGGTTGGGTTGGTAGTGGGGGCACCATGCTTTAATGATCAACAGAACATAGGCATTCTCTGCCCAACAATTTTTGAAGACTGACCTGGCAATTTGGCCGTTGCAGGGTTGAAAAGATCCTCCAGGCCCATTTGGTAAAGCTTTTCCTTCGCGCTGAAGCTGTCCTCTACCTGGAAACGGGGCAAATATACCGAGAGGGTGACCTCTTGGAGGGCATTCAGCCAGCCTTGTAAGATGTCTGACGTCAGCCCCCTCTCCACATTTACTAGAGGGGTGTCCCTAAAGGGCAGGATCAGCACCATGGTGATATCATCTCCTTTGTACGGAAGCTCCAGCACCTGCACTTTGGAGCCTGGGATAGAGGCATAGCGGAATGCAGTTTCCTGGAACATTGAAGGCACAAAGCAAGGCTCGTCCGTGGCTCTGAAGAACTTCTCCAGTTTTGTGTTCTCAGGACGGAACTTTGATTTCCAGTGGCCCTGTTAGCAATGCATCAAAAGGAAAGAACATAATCAGCCATATGCCCAGCAAGATAGCCATGTGGGCTAGAGCAAATGAACTTTCTGGTCCTGGCTCTTTCTTGGTCTCTTGCTCTGAGTTCTGATGTAATTGATCTTTAAATTACAAAAGGTTGCTGACCTCCGTTCTAACTGTTTTGCTGAATTGTGCAAAGCCAAAGTTCACCATTGGGCCTGGTTAAAGAGCAAGTTTATTTTCCTCCTTGGCGTCTTCCTTCCCTTCCCTTCCCTGGTAGTCTATCGTTAACCACCTTTCACCTGTTGCATCTGTTGCATCTGTCTCTATGGTTTCTTCTCCATACCTTAAAGTAAATGGTATTGACCAGCACCAGAACAGTAAGATCATTAATGGCTCCTTGTGGGATCACATCTGTGATGCGCCTCTCAGTTTTATTCGCAACCCACTCATTAATGAGACTCCTGGACAGTTCTGGCTTCTCCTGGAAACAGCAACAGAAAGAAAGGTGATTTTTCACATGCCTTGGTGAAACAGCAAAAACTCAAAGAAAGGAGGGATGTCCCCCAAAATAGTAAAAAGTCTTGCCATCTGGAATAATGGCACCTGAGAACTTATCTAGTGTCTTCCAACTCTAATGTTGTTAAAAGCGCAAGTCCCTCACACTTGGGGCAACCGCAATTGCTCAGCAACTTTTGCCCGAAAAACAAATCCTGCTGGATTAATCCATTCATTTTGCTCTGGCACAAATAGCACACAGGGAGGCGCTATATGGTCTAGTATTCTGAGTTTTAGCATGGATTCTGGGCATACCATCTTATACCCATTTGGGCCATTAGTTACCCCCAGATTTCTTTTAAAAAGAAATAGCAAAGCCCTGAACCTTGCAGATCCAGCGATAAAGGAAAGAAAGTGCAGGCAAACCTGCTCAATTGTTTATTGAGCAATAAGCCCATTTCTGGCTTCCATAGCTCTAACCATGAGGGCAATCTCTTTGATAATGGACGAACTTGGTACATCTGTCCCTAGATGCTGTAGTCTAAGAAGAAAATTTGAACAATCCCTGGAGGTAAGAAATATGTGTCCTCAGATCCTTTCCCCAACTGATTTGCAGAAGTTGCCAGGAACAGGCACAGTCAATGATTTGCACAATATGCAAATACAGTGGAAGGGTTTGGGAGATGGAAATGCAGTACTCCTAACGCATACTTTAGCATTATGTGTCTGCATTTCCAGCGCACTGGGCATGCTTGGAAGTGTGTTCTTGCATACATACACCTTGTGCCACTGCATGAGGGCCGGCACTGCATTAGCCAGCGTTATTTTTTGCAATGTGTTTCATACAACTGCATCAGTGGGTTGGTTTCTCAGCTGCAAGTCGCCATGCAGAAAAGCCAGTCAGAACACAACACAGCCCAACTCTCTTCTCTTCCGTTTTGGGACTCCATAGTTTGACACTCTCCCTAAGCCAGCTGAGTGATAATATCCAGGCAGAGAGCAAAGTGCAAGACTCCATCACTCACACACCCAGGCATCAGAATTATTGAGAAACTGACTGCTTTAGAACTAACTCACTGCTGCAGCCAAATCAAGAACTGTAGAAATGCAGGATGAGGTGTGTGTGTGTGGGGGATATGGGGTGACACTGTAGGGTTGCCAACTCCAGGTGGGGACATTCCTGGATATTTGGGCGTGGAGCCTAGAGAAGGCAGGGTTTGGGAAGGATCTCAGCAGAGTATAGTGCCATACATTCCTCCCTCCAAAACAGCCTTTTTTCTCAGGGGAACTGATATATGTAGTCTGGAAAGCAGTTGTAATCCCAGGAAATCTCCAGCTCCCACCTGGAGGTTGGCAACCCCAGGTGGTGGTCGAACAAACTCGAGGGCCAATAGAGCTTTCAGAAGATGGCAGATACACTGATAGAACAGCAAGTCTCACTCTGCATTAACCCCTCACTTCTGTCTCAGTCTTATTTTGACATATTGATTGCTTTACAACTGCTGACCTTATAATTTATTTATTTATTAGTTTGATTTATATCCCGCCCTCCCAAAGGCTCAGGGCGGCTCACATGCGGCAAAGCCGAGTGTAAAATACAATAAAACATATAGTAGAATACAATATTTAAAATCACAATAAAACCTTCCTCTAATGCGGTGCTATACCTAATCATCCAAGATAAGAACAACCACCCAAATTTGGTGGCCAGCTGTCTCAGTGGCACGGTCTCCCGCTACGCTGTCCAAAACTTCTGCCTGGGCATGCCAGCCCCCCTTAACTTGTTATTTAGTTTTGCCTTGTATATCTTAAAACATCTTCACCGTGTTACATGTTAATTTGCTGTTCAGCCCCACTGCTCCACTGGACTCTAAATTTGTTCTCTGTTCATCTGTGACTTACCTTGAAGTTCAGAGGCCAGAGTTTGGCTCCATAAACCACCTCACTGATGTTCTGGTAGGTCTCGTTGAAGACCAGGGATTTCTCTCCAAACAGGCGGTTAGCTGACACCAACTCTGAGGACTTGTTGGCTTTCTTGTACAGGCGGCAGTTCAGTTTGGCGAAAAAGAAATGGATCTGGTCCGATGTCTTCTCTGAAATAGTGTCAAACTGGAAAACCTAGAGAGAAAGAGCCGTGAGTACAGGAAATGGAGGCCAAGTCTGAGAGAAACACGAGCTCTCTTTGTGAGTCTCGGGAATTTACATGGTGTAGTAGCAGCCTGCAGCTATAATGTGGCCGGACTTGAGTCACACTGGAATACAGAAAGGTGTCAGTGTGGATAAACCAGCATCCTGGACTCTTTGGATGGGGGAAGACGAAGCTAGCTTTATAACTGGGAGCTAGGCCCAGGTGTGCAGGAAAGCTAGATTAGCAGAGGACAGCATTTGCAAATGGAAATAGGTTTCTGTGATCCCTGCACTACAGTTCCGAGCAGAGTTATACCCTGTGACAGACAGAGTTCAAAAATGCACCCAGAAACACAGCAGCCATGTTCTGAAGACATTAAAATATGACAAACTGAGGGGGGCTGGAATCAGGTTTTGAGGGGTGAGAGAGAAGGGTTAGTCTAGCAGGAGTGTGAAGTAAAAATCTGAGGAGGTATCTTTGGTTAAGATTCCTTGTTGAGGAGACCAGTGTTGTACTGAAGTGTTACAGTGGGCCAGCAGGATGTGGCTGGGCCTGGTGTGTATCTTAGTTGCGGTCATGTAGTAGTACGTTATAAACCCACCTAAATGAGTGTTTTCCTGAGGTACGTGCTGTGTAAAACCCAACATCCCACAACTCCTGGATCATTGTTAATATTTACCTCAGTTGTGTGTTTTGCTGAAATAAACTTTGTTCTTGTCAGCTTTTAAAAGCAAACCATCTTGCATAGGGCTGCCAGCCTCCAGGTGGGGCCTGGGGCTCTCCTGCTTTTACAACTGATCTCCAGCTGAGAGAGATCAGCTGCCCTGGAGAAAATGGCTGCTTTGAAGGGTGGACTCTGTGGCATTTTACCAGGCTGAGGTCCCTCCCCACCCCAAACTCCACCCTCTCCTCGATCAACCCCCAAAGTCTCCAGGTATTTTCCAACCCGGATCTGGCAACCTTAATCTTGCACCTGTCAGTTTACCTCAGTTATCAATCCAGTCTTGTGTGGGTTATACTCAGACCCAGACCCCAGACCCTCAAATAGTTTGCCTCATTTAATTTCCTACTGGAAACCCCGGTAAAGTGGGGTAGGTGGGGGAAATTGTGTGGGTGGAGGGAAAATTCCTGTGGGGTGGTGGTTAGCCCCCAGGAAATCTGTCACACACAAGCCCAAGGACATAACATTGCTTAGGACTGCATGGGTAGAAAATCAGCTCAGTACATTCAAATATCAAAAATATTTTTGTTTAAGAGAACAGTTAAGGCATGGAGGTTGTAAATAAGCCACAGCTTACATTCTGCCTCTTGTAAACAGCCAACAAATGGAGTATAATTTGTGAAGATTTACATTTAGAAATTAAACTCCCTACACCCACATTTTACTTTGATCTTCCAGCAAGGTATTAGGCTGAGGGAATGCATCCAAGCTGAAATTCAGCAGGTGCAGCTTTCCCAGCTTTCCCAAACACTTGCTACCTAATGAAGTTATACCTGGCACATCTGTACAAGAGGACACACTGGTTTCCCAATTTAGACCCCTTCCTGGTGAAATAAACATCCAGGAAGAAAGTCAACAGATTCTTCAATAATGTGTTACATTCACAACTCATGAATCTCATCCAGACACAACGATAAAAGGCATGTTGCTTCCCCTTCGTAGCATTAAGTTCAGTAAATGTTGACAGAAATCCAGCCCGTAAGGCATCCAAAATCAACACCAACGGGTGTATTAAATGAATTGCACCCTGATTCATCTACAGTGCTGCCCACCTCACTTGGTACCATACCAGTCTAAATACTTCTGTGGACTGCTTTAGTGAGTCACAATATTCTAGTCATAACAGTAGCTGGGGAATCATACAGCTACCATACATTCATGCCCTGTTTCCCTGCTCCTGAACAATATTTTTATTAAACTAAACCAACATTAACAGAGTTTGTCCAACCTCTTTCTAGATATGCATACAATTATTATTAATACATTGTATATTTTTCCTAGGTTATATATGTATTTTTATCATGCGAGAATATATATTCATGACTACTGCTAGCTAGCTAGCTGCAGATAATTTCTGAACACAAAAAGCACTGGAATATAATTAGGTGTTCAAAGATAACATACAATGAGTGAATTAGGACAGGAGCAAAGAATGGCTTGTTTTGCAGAGCTATATGGGTCTGCAAGATTAGGTTTGCCAGTTGTTACGATTTAGTCTACATCAAAGGTCATTTTGGGGGGGATCGCGGGGGATCACAGTTCCCCCGGGTGAGGTACGGGTGGGCGGGGCACATGATAAAGCCCTGCCCCCTGCTTCCGGCCGCCCCGCTTCCAGCCCTCATTCAGCCAGGAGGAGAGGGAGGGTAAGTTGCTTCCTCCCT